GTTTGGCCTGCAGTCATGTTTTAATTAAGAGTTGGGCTGCTAGCTGCAAGGTCAGCAGTTCGAAACTACCAGTCAGCTCCATGGGGAAAAGATGAGGCTTTCTACTCCTACGAAGAGTGACAGTCTCAGAAATTCACAGGGGCTGTTCTCCCCTGTCGGATAGGGTCAATTTGAGTCAGCACTGATTCAGTGGCAGTGAATTTGAGGAACTCGCTCACCTCCAGAGCTGCTTGTTGTCAGATGCTATTTGAGTGGGTTCTGACTCGCAGCCACAGAACAGAGCCTGGTCTTGCCCCATCCTCATAATTGTTCTTCTGTTTGAGCCCATTGTTGCAGCCACTGTGCCAATCCATCTCGAGAGGCCCTGCCCCTTTTTCAGTGCCCCTCCACCGTACCAAGCAGGGTGTCCTTCGCCAGAGAAATCAAGGTCTTGATAACAGAGGTTGGCCCAGCTGAAATTCGAAGCTGGAAGGAATATTTGCTGGACCCAATAGAACAGTTCATAGCTGCCTAAAAATGACAAAAGACCTTATTAATGAACACCTATTAAAGGGGGTGTTTGCCTTGATTTTGTGTGATTTTAAAATTTCCCTTTACAAAAATTTTAATGGTAGATGGAATGGCTGGCAAAAGCATGCCTGCCCTCCTGAGCTGATTTTACTCTCAAATATTAATCTCCGTAAACCAAAGCCAAATCCACTGTTACCAAAGCCAGTCTGACATACAGTGACTAGATAGGGCAAAATGGAACTGTTCCTTTGGCTTCCCAAGAGTGTAAATCTTTACAGGAGCAGACAGCCTCATCTCTGCCCCAAGGAGGTGCTGGTAGATTTGAACCACTGACCTTGTGGTTAATAGCCTGCTGTGTCATTAGACCTTCTTATTAATCTCCATAGCCATTTCTAATGTACTTTTCCTTGGACTTCTGAAAAAAAAGCTATGGACTCCCACTTTCCCACTTCTGTCCACCAAGTTTACATGCAGCTGCCTCATTCTCCAAATATCTTCAAGGGATTCACAGACACCCTAAAGCGCATCCCTGAACCCCAGGCTGAGAACATCTTTTTCTATCGCAAGTTTTCTTTTTCGCTGGCTGGAGCGTTTATGCTGACTGCTGATTGGAGTCAAGGGCTGCATATTCAACCCAAGCCAATCTCACTGCCACTGAGTCGATTCCACGTGACAGCCACTCGATGGGACGGGTGGAACTGCCCTGTGTGTTTCTGGGACTGTAACTCTCCAGGGGAAGAAATTTTCATCTTTCTCCCTTGGAGTGGCTGGTGGTTTTGAACTGCTGACCTTGGTAGCGCCCCAGCATGCAATCACTACGCCACCACAACTCTTCGAGAGCTCCATAAAAACTCACTGCCCCCCCAAAAAAAGAAGGGAAATGCATGTAGATTAAGCCTCCGGTGAATCTCTCTGACCACAGACCAGGGATTTGAATAACCTTGCTATCATGCAGAGGGCATTGGAAAGTGGATTATTGCAGATACAGTTAGATTAACATGCAACATCTTATCATTTGATCTCCCCATTTTGAACAGTCCCAGAAGAAAATGTTCTAGATTGATTGTGGTGATGATTGGACAACTCTCGATATGATTGAATTATGGACTTGTATGATGTGGATGAAGTGTCAATGAAACTGTTAAAAAAAATCAAATAAAACCCTAAGAGGCGTCTCCCCTATTTGTCAAATGTACCCTCTCAGCTAGATTTTACCACTGTGGCCTAAAGACTGTGGCCAGTGTGGTCTCACCTACTTTGGACACGTGATCCAGAGAGAAATCCCCGGGAAGGGGCATCATGCTTGGTCAATGGAGGGTCAGCTGAAAAAGAGGCAGATGCTAAGGCGATGGATGGATTCCGTGGCGGCAACAATAGGCTCCAAGAGAACAATGATTGGGAGGATGGTGCAGGACCGGGCGACAGGGTCGCTGGAAATCGGAACTAACTCGAGGGCACCAAACCAGAACAGTGTTTGTGAAAGGCGCAGGTGAGCCGTGGAGGGTCAGCAGTGCCAGCCTACCAGCTGCGCCTCGGCGAAAGTCGGAGCTCTAGTTCCCGCAGGATTTACAGCCTTGTAAAGCCATATAAGGTTGCTGTGAGTCGAAATCGACTCCATGGTGGTGAGAGTGTCATTTTTAAAGGAATGAGTTTCCTCGTAGTTAAACTAAGGGCTATGAATGCCTGGTGGAAACTTTTGATCTCAGTTGCACCCATTTCCTGGACTTTGAGGAAAGTATTATTTCATGAAACCTCTTCATCTCCATTCTACTCCAGAGATCAAAGGTTCTAAGCTAGGTCCTTGCTAACAACCTGT